ACAAAAAAACAAAACAACATTCAGAAGACTCACTGTCACCAAGCAATCACTTGGTGACAGTGAGAAGAAGAAAAAGAAAAAACTCCTTTTGAACAGGAAGAAACCTCAGGTTCAGTGAGAGGCAGCCATCTGCCGCAACCGACTGGCAGTGAGGGGAGGGAGACATGACAGAAGACAGATTAACCAATAGTGTGCAGTTTTCCTTCTTTCCCCAATTTTCCCAATCTGATATTCCGGGCAATATATTAGATTTACATTTGACTTTTGGACCATTTCACTAAGATTCCAAATACAATAAATGTTATGTTCCTTTGATTTTAACAGTTAATTGATATTCTTTAAAGGGGAAATTAGTACCCCCTTTAAAGTAGGAAAGTAGATATTGAATCCTTCTAATGTGCCTTTATTTCTCCAGGGAATGACAAGCCTATGAAGGGCTTTCGTCAGGAAGACCTGGTAAACCAGGATCTGATCACAGAGCTGAGGAAAGAGTTTGGCATGACCTACGAGGAGTTCTACATGGTCCTCACAGACACTGACATGAGAGTCAAGGTAGAGACTTACTCTTTCTAAGCAGTATAGGAGGATTATGTGAAGGCTGTGGCTCTATAGTGTAGTGGTTTGCACATTTGCCTAACAGTGAAAGATCCCTATTTAAGTACCAGGAGGAGGAAAAAAAATCCCTTGACAGCTGTGTCGGGAAGAGCATCAAATACGCCAAATTAAACACAAGTATACCTGTTGTAGTGACTTGTGAATAATTTAATTCAGGTTTAGGTAAATAGGGCCAGACCACAGTCACATCAAGGCATGTAAAATTGATAATAAAGGGGCAGCCAAAAGTAGCTAGTATGTGATGGGCAGCCCCATAACAGAATGGCCGTGCTGTGTAGATCAATTAACTTGTTGAATACTTAAATTAATGCGGTGTGAATTTGGAAAGCATGTAAGTCAAGCTGTTTTTTCACTCTAAAATGTAAAGATGTCCCCTAAATGAACCACACACACTCACGTCTTGATTCAATTCAATTTTCAATTCAATTCAATTTTATTTATATAGCGCCAAATCACAACAAAAGTCACCTCAAGGCGCTTCATAGATACAGAGAAAAGCCCAACAATAGTATGACCCCCTATGAGCAGCACTTTGGCGACAGTGGGAAGGAAAAACTCCCTTTTAACAGGAAGAAACCTCCGGCAGAACCAGGCTCAGGGAGGGGCGGCCTTCTGCCACGACCGGTTGGGGAGAAAGAAGGAAGACAGGATAAAAGACATGCTGTAGAAGAGAGACAGAGGTTAATAACAGATATGATTGAATGCAGAGAGGTCTATTAATACATAGTGAGTGAGAAAGGTGACTGGAAAGGAAAAACTCAATGCATCATGGGAATCCCCCGGCAGCCTACATCTATTGCAGCATAACTAAGGGAGGATTCAGGGTCACCTGGTCCAGCCCTAACTATATGCTTTAGCAAAAAGGAAAGTTTTAAGCCTAATCTTAAAAGTAGAGATAGTGTCTGTCTCCCGAATCCAAACTGGAAGCTGGTTCCACAGAAGAGGGGCCTGAAAACTGAAGGCTCTGCCTCCCATTCTACTTTTAAATACTCTAGGAACAACAAGTAGGCCTGCAGAGCGAGAGCGAAGTGCTCTAATAGGGTGATATGGTACTACAAGGTCATTAAGATAAGATGGGGCCTGATTATTTAAGACCTTGTATGTGAGGAGCAGGATTTTGAATTCAATTCTGGATTTAACAGGAAGCCAATGAAGGGAAGCCAAAACAGGAGAAATATGCTCTCTCTTTCTAGTCCCTGTCAGGACTCTTGCTGCAGCATTTTGGATTAGCTGAAGGCTTTTCAGTGAGTTTTTTGGACATCCTGATAATAATGAATTACAGTAGTCCAGCCTGGAAGTAATAAATGCATGAACTAGTTTTTCAGCGTCACTCTGAGACAGGATATTTCTAATTTTAGAGATGTTGCGCAAATGGAAGAACGCAGTCTTACATATTTGTTTAATATGTGCATTGAAGGACATATCCTGGTCAAAAATGACTCCAAGGTTCCTCACAGCGTTACTGGAGGCCAAGGTAATGCCATCCAGAGTAAGAATCTGGTTAGATACCATATTTCTAAGATTTTCAGGGCCGAGTACAATAACCTCAGTTTTATCTGAATTAAGAAGCAGAAAGTTAGCGGCCATCCAGGTCTTTATGTCTTTAAGACATTCCTGCAGTTTAACTAATTGGTGTGTGTTATCTGGCTTCATGGACAGATAGAGCTGGGTGTCATCAGCATAGCAGTGAAAATGAATGCTATGTCTTCTAATGATACTGCCTAAGGGAAGCATGTATAATGTAAACAGAATTGGTCCTAGCACTGAACCCTGTGGAACTCTATAATTAACCTCAGTGTGTGAAGAGGACTCTCCATTTACATGCACAAATTAATTAATTATCGGAAATAATTAATTACATAAATATTTACGACACATGTAATTAATTATTGCCACATTTAATTCATTAATGACACATTTAATTAATTATTGACACATTTAATTATTTATTTATTTATTTATTTCACATTTTAATTAATTATTGCCACATTTAAATAATTATTTAATGGTGTATTTAATTAATTCATTTTGGCACAGTTGACTCCTTCAGGTCTCACCATGAAATAATTTTATCTGTCAACCTCACCCATCAAACTCAGGAGGCGGGGTTAACACTGATCGAGTCAAAACCATTGCTTTGGCCTGGTGGCCATTGTTTTTAGCACACAACAACCGGCATGTGGAAACTAACAGAACTGAACTTTGAAAAACCCTGTTTGTGTGTCACCAAATACTGTTTTAATATTTTTTTTAGCGAGAATGTAGTGATTTAATCTTCATATGTCTGGTCGGTTTGTCAAGATACAGCCTCTTTGCAAAAGTGCTTCGATGATTTTGGAGATGTCTGCCCAGGATAGACCCGTTCGCCTCGCAAGCAATCAAGTTGTTATTACCACTGACAAAGCGCAGGCCCCGGTACACAGCTGTAATAACCCCCAGTGTACACTGACTTCATTTACTGAGGTTATATTTATCGGGTTTTTATTTCCTGATGTTCGTACGTGTCATACATGTTTCCGTCGCCAATTCTGAATTATAACTAACATTAAAAATATGTTTAAGGAGGAGAGAGAGCAAATAAATTCCATTAACCGCTGATCTTTGGGTTTTTGTTCAGTAATCAGCGTGACCTGCGTATAAACGTATAAAAGAGATAACGTTGGTGTTTCCGTCATGTAGTAACTGCTTGCTTTAACTGTACAAAGGTTGTTCGACACTATGAAACACATACAGACTTCATGATGTTCGGCTAATATTTTTATTGTGAATAGTAATCATGAGGGTAAACGGCCCTGTACACCACGGAGCGAGGTCAGCATATCCACGATATTGTCAGCTCTATGAGTTAACAGTTTCCCAGCTGACTAGTCTAACTGACATGTACGAATATGTCACGGGTCATATCAATATGATTTTACAGAAAATCACCCTTATTACTGCCAACTATTCCAGAGACATGAAAATCTACAGTATGAAGAACACAAAAATATAGCAGTCTAACACAACACTGTAACAGAGATGAACGCTCAGTTTGTCTCAGATCAAAGTGGAATGAATGTGATTGGTTGAACAGGTGTTGTGATCTGTGTTATCTGCATTTTCATCAGCGTACGAGACTCAGCAGCAGATTAGAATAACAGTTACACATTTAATAAATCACCAAATGAATACACGCAAGAAACGAGCAAACCTGTTCAATCCGAGAATTTGAGTTTGTGTTCCCTCAGCTGCAGACTCGCTGCTGTTTAAATGTTTGAGAGGAAGATTAGATATAAAGCAAACGTCAAACATAGACTCAGTCTGCGTTCACATTTGATATGAGGCCAGGACGGATAATGGCTGTGTCCTGTTTGAAGATCATATATGTAAAATTGTTGTCTGACCTCCGTCGATCCAGCCGCTCAGAGTCCGTGGTTACCATGGTTACTGCATAAGCACCTATAATGTAAACAGCTGACACAGCGGAAACCTACCGGGAGCATGGGTGTTTATGTTTTTCATTGCAAAAGAACTGTCTGTCTATGTTTCAGTGCCCTGGTCTGCCGCAGTTTCCACCAGCCCCACTCCAGTCTCAGCAGTTTAGTGACCTGACTGTTCCATTTTTAACTTTTGGTGTTTCTGCCTATCACAAGATTGATAACTTCAGTCAGCACTGTAGTGCATCATTCTCACATCAGAGGGACATTTGAATACTGTTTTATACAGCATATGACTGGAAGATGAATATCAAGCAGGCATAAGTGTGATGTTGATTGAACTGAGATCTCCTACTGTCATTTCTGTTGCTGGAGATGTCCACTCTAATTTAATTTAATTTAATTTAATTTAATTTAATTTAATTTAATTTAATTTAATTTAATTTAATTTAATTTAATTTAATTTAATTTAATTAGTTTGCTGCTTTGAATTATATGCAAACATGTCCATGTGGATTATATAAGTTGCTTGAGGAAGAGAAAATATGTTCATCAAAAGAAGACAGTTGAGGTACTCGGGGCATCTAACCAGGATTCCTCCTGGACTCCTTGGTAGGTGAGATGTTTTTGGCCATGTCCTACTGGGAGGAGGTCTCAGCGGGCTTGGGGAATACTGTGTCCTCCAGGATGAGCTGGAAGGCATGGCTGGGTTGAAGGAAGTCTGTCAAATTGATAAGCAGAGGAAGTGGTGCAGCACCTGGTTCTGTTTGTAGAAGCTCAGATGTAGGGGCAGCCAATCAGATGAAAGCTGGCGTAAATAGAGGAGGGGTTGGGGTGGGGGCTCCAAAAGACTGTAGCATGCAAAACCACTACTTTGTACAATTTCTGTCGTCTACAGACAAAATCATCTTAACTTGTGATCTTGTAAGCTGCTGGTACTTGAGTTGTTTTATGCCTTTGAACAGAGCCTGGTGGGTATTTGGTCCTGCTTCTGGCATCAGTGCTAAGTTACACTAATCCAGCTGCTGGGTGTAATTTGTTATTAACTGGACTAGTTCATTTATCTATCTCTAGTATGCATTTGAAGAACTCATAATCTTCTGTGTTCTCCCTAGCTGCCCTGGGCTTATCCGTGGCCTTCATCTTAAAATTCAGAGACAACATGTTCCATGTGCTGACTGGCCAGTTCACTACTGTTCTGGTCACAGGCCTCTCCCTCTTCCTCTTTGACTTCCACCCTTCGCTGGACTTCTTCCTCCAGGCACCCACGGTCCTGCTGGCCATCTTTATCTACAATGCCAGCTGGCCCAAGGACCTGGAATATAGCCTGCAGCGGGAGAAACTACGGGTCATCAACGGGGAAGTGTTTGAGAGGTCAAGAGGGGTAGGAGACAAACCACAAATCCTCAGTAGTCACGCACACAAGCCCACACACTCCTTTTCCTCACACAACTTCGCTCACCTAACCCCGATGTATATCCACTTCCTCTACTCCCGCCCACATACCAAGTGCTCTGCAGGAAACTTGGCTCTTGTTTCTCTGTAATGTCATTTCTTGAGTGCAAGAGGAAACCTGATTCCCAGCTATGAAAATAGCATCCAGGCTCATGCTGGAGCCTTACGTCATAGAATTCCTTTAGTAGTCAAGTGTTTTTTGATGGAAGAAGCTATTTAACAATACAGTAGTCTGTGGGGATACTATCCTGGAATTCTTTTCATCCCCAGCGTCCTGTTCTGTATTGAAGAAACCCTGTAAATCAGGTGAAATGCCAGGTTTCAGGTGTTTGTTTCTTTGCTAGAGCACTAACAAAAATACCCTCTCCATTGGCAGCCGTGGCTTTAAAATGCACGGTACTTCCCCGGTGTTTTTCGGGGAGTAAATACTGCCCTCCACTTTCTGAAGACAGAAAAAAGATGTGCACAGTGCCTCAATGTCTGCAGATTTGTCCACTGGATTTGATCACTTGTTCATTCATTCTGATGCCTTGTCTCTTTTTTGTGTTGCAGGACAGTGAGGAGCTCGATCTCCTGACAAAGGCAAATGCAGACAGTGTTTCTGATGAAGAGTCCTTGTAGTAATGATAGAGCTCACTCCCAAGTATCCAGAGGATACTCTGCATCTTTCCTGCTGCTGATATCGAACTGGACAATTGACTGGATGGAACATGGTCACAGATTGTCTGTGAAAGCATTTATTTGAACAGTGATAAGCAGGTAAACGGTGAAAGATACTGTTGATAGATTATATGATAGACTCCTAGAATTAAAAACAAAGTGTTTAATAACAGAATTAGCGAAATGTGTATATTTTGGAAACGTGCCTGTCTGTGGATGACTGCTGTCATTCATATGGGGGAAAGTACCAGCAACGCTGTTTGTTGGAAAATAAGTGATACTTTTGGATTCATTATGGATTCCTTTTATGGACAGTGTATTTCTTTACATGATTCCTGTTGTACATGCTGCTATTTGACTGCTTGCTGGTGCTGGACGTCTAAGGACCAGAAACTGCAGTTTCAGGATTGTTTTGATAATAGATTTGTTTGAAATTGTGGTGATTTTGAATCTTTATCCACACTATGATGAATTCAGTTTGTATTGTACTGTGGAAGAGGCAGTTTATTTTTTTATTTGTTTATTTTCTGAGCCAGAATAAGTGGCATTGACATAATTGCCACTAATGCCTGACTTTCTGTCAGCACCACAAACTCCCTGCCTCTCTTACTTGGGGCTTGAATATTTTCTTGTTAAACTGTAAAATAACATTGTCTAAAGATTGTTGTTTGTGCCATTAAAATCCTCACGTGTGAATGCATTTTCTTGTAAAATAAATGGCAAGTTGTTTTACTTCTGTGCAAGTAATGCAATTTAATACAATTGCTGATGTCTTGTCATAAATTTGTGCATTTATTTAAATACTGAGGTTTTCTGGAGGAAGACCTAAAGGGTACTAGCTGCTCTAACTCCATGTTTTTCTTCTATTACTTTGCACATGCTTGATAGCTGTTTTAGCTCCCTATCAGTTCCTTTAAGCCAACTCTTAGATAGTTTACCCACCTGCTGAATAACAGTGTTCCACACCCACTAACATTATACAGATCCAAGAGAAAAGAGACTGTAACGCAGTCTGATGTCTAAGCTTTAAATGAACAAGACTCACTTGTACATACACTTTGGCCATGTTTAATACAAACTCTGTCTCTTGCTCTATGGCAGCTGAGAGATGCTCCAGCCTCCCCATGCCCTTAATTGGATAAGTGGAAGAAAATGGGTAGGTGGATTCAAGCCCTTCTTACTCGCAAAGTGTTTTTGCAAATGTGATTGCATTGAGGGGACAGTAAGTTGAGAAGGTCTGAAACTACTGTAGATATTACAAGTACGGCAGGTTGTTTCAATCATTACATGACCACTAAAATATACTTGGAAATATTTTTCCAGTTTTGCCACTAGGGGGAGGTGTTGCTCAAAAGATTATTGCAGCGCATTGGCACTGAAAGTGAGACAAATAATTTAAAGGACCTGGTAGTAAACAAATGTTTATTTTCATATAGCCATATAGAAACAAAGAATAAATAGAAACAATGTATAGCAACAGAAACTTTACAAAAGAGAAATAATGTGATGCTTTTAATAATATTATTGGTAACTGCACTTCAAATGCAACAGATGTCCAATAAAAATGTTCTATTATCTACAAAATCAACGTGTGTGCTGAAACTATGTAAGTCTGATCTAAAAAAGCCTGTTAGAGATGACACACGATGCAATAATGTTTTAAGTTGAAATAAACAAAAAAAAACAAACCCGGCAAAAACTAAAGTACGCAATCCATTTCTGAACCTTCAGGTTCATCCATAAATTTACTGACTAACCAGATCTGACGCTGCTAAGTATAAAGCAGCGTACTATGCTATATAGGGAATGTTAAAGAACTGGATATGTGAAAGCATTTTTCTTCCCTTCACTAAGTGCTACAAAATAGTCGTCTGTGCCAACTGCCCGGTGGGAGATGGGAAAGACACACAAAGGTTTTGGGCCAAAGGAAGGTAGCACCAAGGACCAGCTGCAGGCCAGTGTGCATCATTGGAATGCACGCACCTTTTATCACCATACCCCTGGTGATAGCCATCCTGATAACCGTGTTCGTTGATGGTAACCATAGCCACCATATTAGTCTTCAGGGCAGCGCATGCCAAGCCACTGCTGGATGGCCATCTCCTGTCTGCGGAGCTGCATAGCAGGCACGTGCAGAGGGGGGGGCTAGAGGGGCTTGAGCACCCGCCCCTTTCCTGATGGGTGCCCAAAGTGCCCTTTTGTTGAGGCAACTTTTTAAAAAATATATATATATATTTTTTTTAATGTGTGTGTGCGGAGTCCTGTCTGTGCCCCTCAACAATAATATTTAACTATTAATCACAGTTTTGCTAAATAAAAGGATCTGGCTTGCATCAGTCACATGATCACATTTAACCAATGATCGCCCTTGACGGCAGAACGCGCTGGTTACGAGCCGGGAACGAGCTCACAAAGAGCACGCGCATTTTTAGCGGTCCGGAGCTGTAGGAGAAACACAAGTTAACTCAGAGACACAGACTGATGCGACACAACCAGTAAGTAGGTGTACAGCGTGCACTGTAGTGTGTAGCACACAGGAGTATTAGCTTATTAGCTTAAATGCATATACTATTATACGAAATGCATATACTATTATATATTGTACATATATTTATTAGTTTCAGATGTAGCCATTCTTGTATTTTGCTTGTTTACATTATTGTATTTTGCACAACTCTGTTGCTTGTGAAGCTCGCACACAAGAATTTCACTCACATGTGCTTTACCAGTGTACCTGCACATGTGATGTGACAATAAAAGTGATTTGATTTGATTTGATTTTTGATTTATTACGTACACGTTGGTAAGCTGTCTTGTTGCAACTGACGAACTGAAACAAACGAGCGTGCTGTGTGTGCAACAGCGCGACAAACATTACCTGTCCTTTTATTAACTGCACATGTAGTGCTGGTCACAGCTGCTGGCTACCTGTGTAAGGCTGTCATGGGTCTGTAGCTCTGTCACCGTTTTAGGGAACATATTTAGTTTTAAAGTAAGTTTCCGGGCTTTTCCTGCCTTTCTGGAGGGATTATATTTCACTAAAAAACAATTTAATATGCATGTCCACATAATTATGCATTATTATAATTATAATATATTAAAAACACACGCTGTATTTTAAAGAACATACATTAAGAAGCAGATTATATTAGATTTATATTTTAAATAAGACAAAAGTTGGATTTTACAGCAGTAAAATTATTGTATCTCTACAGTTTAAACATGTAATAAGCTTTGCCCTGCACAGAGTGGATAGTGAAACAAATGGAATCATCATAATGACATTATTTCATATTTATTACTTCCCCCTCCTCATTGCTTTATTATTGTAGCTCTAGTAATAAATAATAATGTAAGGATTCTGGATCAGCACCATGATGCCCATAGTATATACAGTATTCTGAAGAAGGACATGAGGAGGAAACAGCAGGAGCTGTGTGAGGCTACTAAAGGCAGTGCTATAACATTTTTCTGTCATCATTTTATTATAGATTAAGTGCAAGAGTTGTTAGGTGTGGATGATTAGATTATAGTTTATTGCAATAGCAAGTTGTGCCTTGTTCTCACATAGCAAGTGGAGAGTGATATATGAAATGATGGAAGGAAGAAGAAGGAAGAGTGATTCACAGGCAGAGCCTAAATGATTTCTCACAGTTTTTTGTTGCCTTATGGTTCCAAGCGCTGTCACCAATCTTTGCATTTTGTTATTATCTCATGACACTTGTTTAATCAGCTACCATCTCTCCTCTGGACTTTTTAATGTCTACAGTCTCAGATCAACACAGCCCTGCCCTTCCCATATTAGATTCTTGATGAATGTGTGTTGTTGTTATTCAGCCTGGTTCAATGTGCCCCTTTTTAACTTTGAGCACCCGCCCCTTTAAACCTCTCTGCACGGCCCTGCTGCATAGAGTCTACCAGGTCATAGATAATGGCCATGGACCACATGGGTGAGGGGTACCAGCACTTAACATTGCCGTCCTTCCCACCAGCAGCATGGAGAAGTATTCTGGGCTGATTTGGAAGTAGTTTCTCATGTCCTTCACGAGGGTAGCTGAGAGCCCTTCACGCTCCACGGTAGCACTCCCTGGATGGACCAGAGGATCAGGTTAGGAACAACCTATTAAAGAGTGAATTTCACAATAGATGTAGCACATCGACATTTTCCTCTTCCTCTAAACTTATCACACTGAACTCAGATACCAAAAGAGTAGAGACCTTAGCTTTCAGAAAATATATCTGTTCACTATTTTGTATTAAAAATTCTTACCATTGATAGGATAGAGCTCCAAGACTCCGCCCATATCTGGCAACTGTGTGCCAACCAGCTTCAGAATGGCGATGTGCCTCATGCCTGTGTAACCATGGCAACCTTTTTTTGAAAAGACATCAGAATGAGGCAAACAATTTTTAGACAACAGCATGACTTCAAATGAGAACAGCAGTATGCTATCAAAGTTTACCTTGGACTATGACCCTGACTGACATGACCAGAAGAGCCTCGGCAAGCAGATTTACAGATGCTGGGAGGAAGTCATACTTGTTTTCTGCAAACAGAACAAAATGTGAAGACACGTACTGAGCAAGCTGCCAACACATCACTGTAATGCACGCCAGAAAAATTAACACTGTTTTTTAAATCTTTTTATCCAGATGTGGAAAAAAAAAAGTTGTGTGCATGTGTTTACTGTCAGGTAATCACCGGCACTGGCAGACATTTTCAGAAGTAGGATGCGGCTGGTCCCCAGTGTTACAAAGCCTAGCCCGAGAGCAAGAATGTAGGCTGATGAGCCGGAGCACAGCCTGGGGCACAAGGGCACATGGCTGCGACTGGAAATGGATCCAGCCAAACCTGCTGGAATACATACAAACATGCACGCACACATGTTTATCAGACTTCCCCTTTACATTATGATTATTATACTGCCAAAGAATTTTTTAAAAGTGTTGTGTGTGTCTCAGAAAGGTTTTAAAAAGACAACATTGACAGGATGTAAGTGTGAACTAAAACTTGCAGAAATAATGATCAAATACAAGACACTAAAAATAACACTGCGGGTTAATTTGGTTAAAAGAATATCATTCTAATTATGCTGTGTGAGCCGTTTAGAGATATGTGGTGGCTTTTCCTTTAATGGCTCATCTGTGAAACAGCTTATGAGGAGAAACAACTCAGTATAATGCAATACAAAGATGACCGTGTCATTGAGACTATATACCCCTTATCTTGTATATCAATATTCAGTAAGATGACCTTTATATTCCAAGAAATCTATGTATCAGGCAAGCTTTCAGGTCAATTCTTTAAGTAATCCAAGAGTTTTATGTGGATGTTGGCTGTTTTTGTTTATTCTCTGTCAAACTATGACTCAATAAGCACTGTTGCAACAGGGCTCACAGGGATTTTCAGTCTGGTTATTGTGTCATTTGGCATACCATAACATTTTCTTCCAATTTCTCTTCCTTAACAGTAATTTTTTGACAGCCACCCTCACA